TCTGTAGATGAGGGTCTTGGTGTATTTGTGGGAGAGGGTGACTTACGAGCGTCCTTCTACTCCGCCATCTTGCCTCTTCTCTCCTGTCTGTTTTCTAAGTCTGCGAGTTGCTTTGTCGGTGAGTCCCTTTGTCTTTTTTTTTTTTTAAGATTCCGCATGTTTTTCTTTCTCTTTCTGACTTAATTCACTTAGAATGACATTCCCCAGGTCCACCCATGTTGCTACAAATGGCATTATTTTTTTTAATGTCAGAATGTTTTGCCTGTGTTTCCTTCTAAGAGGTCGGTAGCGTCTGGGCTCATGTGTAAGCCTTTGAGCCCTTCCGAGTTTACGTTTGTGTGCGGAGTGAGGGAGTCCAGTTTTCCCAGCAGTATTTCCCGAAGAGACTGTATTTTTGCTCCACTGTATGTTCCTGCCTCCTTGGTCAAAGATTACTCGACCAGAAGTTTGCGTGTGCATTTCTGGGCTCTGCGCTCTGTTCCTTTGATTCGTGTGTCTGTTTTTGTACCAATACCATGCTGGGGTTTTTTTGTTTTGTCTTTTGGGTTTGTTTTAGTTGAGGTTCAGTCAGGTACAGCGTGTCGGGTTCTGGTGTACAGCACGGTGGCCCAGTCTCTCACACGTGTACGTGTGTTCGTTATCATAGTCCCCTCACTAAAGGTTATTGTGAGATACTGAATACAGTTCCCTGAGCCACACGGGAGAAACTCGTTTTCTCCTGCAGTCTGCTTTGCTGTGTAGTGGCTACTGTTTGCAATTCTCAGACTTGGAAATTTGTCCCTTCCCACTCCTTCCTTTCCCTGGCAGCCGTAAGATTGCTCACCATGTCTGCCAGTCTGTTTCTGTTTTGCAGAGGGGTCACAGTGTCTTTTTTTTCTTTTCTTTTACCGGATTTTGTGAGAATCCTCCTGTATTTTGATGCTAGAGACACTGCCCGAGGCAGTAGGTGTCTGTGCGATTCAGTGGGTTTGTAGGTGTGATAATGTTGCGTTGAGTGGGAGAGGCAAGCTGTGAGTCTCTCTACTTTGACGTCTTGGTACCAGCTCCTAGGTACCAGGTCTTTTAAAGTGTTGATTTGGAGATGGGGACCACTGCATGCTGAGACTTGCTCAGTAACAATGCAGAGACACTCTATGTGGGCGTTTCTTTGAATAAGAGGGCTGCAGACTCAGATGGAGGTTCGTCACGGGGTGGCTGTAAGGAGGCAGCCTGGGTGTGTGGGCAGGAGGTCCCAGGAGAAGTGCGGCCCCTCCCGGAGGTGGCAGACCGCTCCGGGGCCGCTGCTGCGCTGCGCAGCTCACCGGGGCCATCAGAAGCGCGAGCCTGCTGGCCTGTAGCATTTGATGTTTCTGTAGTAGGAAGACTTGCATAGAGTCTTTGTGAAACTAATTTTAAAATAGTGGATGGTTCAAGCAGCACCCCCTTGGAGGCGAGACAGCCTGGGCTGCCTTTGTGTGGGCCTCGTGCACGGTGGGGACTCACTAGTGTCCGGGAAGTGTAACTGCTTCGAGAGCGGGAAAGAGCACGTGCGGTGGTTTCTACCCTTTGTATAGTCCCCCTGACGCTCTGTAACGTGATGCACCGAGGAAGCTGAGCGGGATGGTTTTGGTTTGCGGAGTGAAGCTGATGGGGACCCGCCCTGTGAGGCGTTTCTACTTAAGTAGGTGCATCGTTGTGTCCTGTTGGGGGTCAGTCTTGTGCTTTCTTGAACTGGGGATAGCGGGGTTTCAGATTGTCAGCTCTGCGTTTCTTAGTGGATGCATCTGTTGATCTGTGCTGTGCTCTTTGCCTGAAGGAGATGCAGAAACTCCCAGAGGCTGTGCAGCTGATCGAGAAGGCCAGCACGATGTACCTGGAGAACGGCACTCCGGACACGGCGGCCATGGCCCTGGAGCGCGCCGGGAAGTGAGTGTGCAGCGCTCGGGCCACGTGGGCGGCTGCTGGTTTCAACAGAATCCTTTGAAAACCAGTTTTCCATATCTCATGGGAGTCAAATTTCCTTGTCTAATCTAGGCTTATAGAAAACGTAGATCCGGAAAAGGCTGTCCAGTTGTATCAACAGACAGCAAACGTGTTTGAAGTAAGTTTATTTTTTCTTTCTGTGTACTTAGAACGTTAGGTGCATAATATATAGGAAAACAGAAGTGCAGTAGGTACTTTGAAAACTTTTCTGTGCTCACAACTGAACTGCATTTTTCTATGAGTGAATGGATTAGCAGCTTTGGTGTCCACTCCCCACCCCGATGGAGTCCATTACTGTTTTTAATGAAATGATTGTTGGGGAAAGAAAGAAGATCTGCTACATGAGAGCAGCCAACAGTCTCTGTTCTTGGATCCCTGCAGAACGAGGAGCGCTTGAGGCAGGCGGTTGAGTTACTAGGAAAGGCGTCCAGGCTGCTGGTCCGGGGACGCAGGTACGTGTCCCCTGCACCTTCAGTCCACATTCAGGGACTCATACTTAATGGATGGAGGGTCTGTTCATGTTTTTGGTGCCGCCTTGAGCTGCCCCTGGGAGACCTGGTGTCCAGGAGACAGCGTGGAAGGGTCAGCTGCCGTTCTTGTGTGGGACCCCAGACGTGTCACGGCTGCTCTTGCCGCTTCAGACCTGACACAGCAGCGGGCGGAGAGCCGCTGTCCGGGTCTTTAGTTAACTTGGTTCAGTTGTGACGTCTCTCCAGGAGGAGTGTCTGTGCGTGTAAATGATGAGAGGCCCTGCCTGCTCCCCGAGTTGTGTCGCTAAGCAGCACTTTTTATCCTTCACACGTACAACCCACAGCACAAATAGCTGGACCGCAGGAACCTAGAGTCCTACTGGATTTTCCTTTTGTTTTTTACTTCCCTTCACTTTAAGCTTAGTAAACTATCTCTGTTACTAATAAAATTCTGAGCAGGAAAATGTGAGAGTAGAATGTTGAGGACACAGGTAAGTCTCTGCCCTCCTGCTGCCCTTCCTGGCCCTGGGAGCTGGTTGGGCTCATGGAGGCCCCAGGGAGCCTGTGAGGGTGAGGACAGAGTGGGAGGAGGGGCTCCTGAGGGGCCTGGTGGCCTTTCAGCAGAAGGAAAGAAGCCTTGTGATTGAGTACAGGGCAGCCTCCCCAGTCCTTGTCACACACGCCCCCAGAGCGGTTTGTTGACTGTGACGCTCATCACGCTGACCCCGTATGAAGTGACCTGTCCTTAGGTCGCTCCCGCTGTCCTCTTGGTGTCCAGAAGGGCAGGTCGAACACCCAGGGGCAGCTGGGGCACTGGGGAGAGTGCCGGACCTCCTCTTTCTCTGAAACTTGTGGCGACGAGCACGTAACAGCAGCCAGCTCTCTGGGGGTCGTCGGGACCTGCCTCCCCTCACTCTCTCTCTCTTCAGGTTTGATGAGGCGGCGCTCTCTATTCAGAAAGAGAAGAATATTTATAAGGAAATTGAGAATTACCCAACTTGTTACAAGGTACGGTGTGAAAGTGTTTGCTTCTGGCTTTACATTAGATCATTTTTCATATTGGTGTAGCTCTGCACCTAAGACAGGCTTCCAGGAATGTCTGTGTAGTTTTTGAAATAACACATTATGGGCCTCTATGTTTGGCCAAGGGGGAGGAAACCCACTGTAGCCTGTCCCTCCTGCTGAGCACCACCAGTGCAGAGGTCAGGGGCAGGGGCTCAACCGGGAGGGCAGCCAACGTGGAGCACGTGGAGAAGGGGCGGCTCAGGGTGGTTCCCGGTCCTCTCCCCGTGGGCTCTGGGTGCCCCGTCTTTCTACCCAGAAGAGCTGGGGACAGAGGCCCGTATTTCCCTCTCCTTCCTCCCTGGGCTGCTCTGGGGGGGCCTGTCCTGGAGCTGCAGTGGTGATGGCGGTGTGGGCGGACAAATGCCAGTGAGACCCAGTCTGCTCAGCTAGAGCAGGCGGGCGGGTGGCCGGGTAACACCCCAGAAAGGGGCCCCGAGTGTGGGAGGTCCGTGACGTGCTGCCGTCGTCAGGAGTGAAGGCTCATGTTGCCCGGAGAGGCCCAGGTGGTGGTGGGGTCACCCAGTCAGGACCTGAAGCCGCTGTCATCACTGCTCTGGGAGGCAGAGGTGAACACAGGTGAAATGGCCCGAAGGACTGATTTTTTCTTTTTTAAATGGAAATTATAAATGAACTAAATGAGAATTTTAGAACTGAAATAGTGTCTGAAATAAAATACTGGATGGGCTTAATCTGAAAATGGAGATGGCAGAAGATTCATTGAGCTTAGATAGGTCAGCGACGGTCATCTGAAAAGTGGACGTGAAAAAGACTGAGAAGTCCTTCATGAAGAGCTGTTTGTGGATAAGGTCTTGCCGGGCGTGGCTGTTGTGACGGGGGCTGCACTGGGTCTTAGGTGGCTCAGGGCTGTGCAGCCGTCTTGGACATGTTGACCTCCCAGACCCGGCGCACGAGGTGTCTTTCCATTTATTCCCTTCGTCAGTGTCTTACAGCTTTCAGCGTGCAGGTAACCTTGGCTAGGTTTACTCTAAGTATTCTGTTGTTTTTGATGCAAGGGAAATGTCTATGCCAGCTATAAAATTCTATTTTTTGTTTTTTAACATTTTTTTTCAGTTTTACTAGGTAAAAATTATTACAGTTTAACTGCACGTGTACATTATATTGCATATTAATACATATGTAAATATACTGCACCTTTTTTGTTTACATACATGTACTGAAGATTGTTTCTAAGAACAGATTAGAGCTTCAGCTTTTTAAACTTACATAGTTATCAAAGGAATAAAGCCAACCGCAAGATAAGAACAGATTTTGGTAATCCAATCATAATGGATAGTCAAATGTGCTTACACATATTCGGGAAATCAGTCGTTATTTATAACGTAGACAAGCAGTTCATTTGTGTCCTTATTTTCTTGTTTTTTAAGATTCTACATATAAGTGGTATCATGTGGCATTTTTTTTTTCCTTCCTGGCTCATTTCACTTAAAATGACGATCTTCAGGTCCATCGTGTTGCTGTAAATGGCATGATTTTACCCTTTTTTATGGCTGAGTAGTGTTCCGTTGTGTATATGTACCACATCTTTATCCAGTCTTCTGTTGATGGACATTTGGGTTATTTCCACGTCTTGGCTGTTGTAAATAGTGCTGCTGTGAACACTGGGGTGCAGTGGGATTGCTGGATCACATGGTAAGTCTGTTTTGAGTTTTTTAAGGACCATCCAAACTGTCCGTCACAGTGGCTGCACCAGGCTGCACTCCCGCCAGCAGCGCAGGAGGCTCCCTTTTCCCCACAGCCTCTCCGGCGCTTATCCTTCAGGGACCAGGGACCCTGGGGTGCCGGCCATCCTGGCTGCTGTGAGGTGGAACCTGTTGTGGTTTTGATTTGTGTTTCTCTGATAATTAGGGATATTGAGCTTTTTTTTCATGTGGTTACTGGCCATTTTTATGTCTTCATTGGAGAATTCCTTGTTTAGGTCTTCTCCCCATGTTTGGTTTGGGTTTTTTTTTCTTATTAATTTGTATGAGCTGTTTATATATTTTGGAGATCAAGCCTCTGTCAGCTGAATCATTTGCAAATATTTTCTCCCATTCTGTAGTTGTCTTTTAGTTTTGCTGATGGTTTCCTTAGCTGTGCAAAAGCTTTTAAGTTTGTTTTTATTTCCATAAAATTCTGGTTTTTGAAGTGAAAAAGGGCTGCAAAATGACAAAATATTCTGTTTTTATGGGTGTGTTGTATTCCATTGCATGTATATGCTGCATCTTCTTTATCCATTCATGTATTGGTGTGCACTTAGGACGCTTCCCCATCTTGGCAGTTGTAAGTAGTGTAAGTTATTAGCAGGGTGTATGTATCTTTTTGAAGTAACGTTTTTGTTTTTGTTGGATATATGCCCAAGAGTGGAATTGCTGGGCCACATGGTGATTCTGTCTCTAAGTTATTGAGAAACCTCCATACTGTTTTCCATCGTGGCTACACCAGTGTACGTTCCCACCAAGAGTGTACAAGAATTCCCTTCTCCACATCCTCGCCAGCACTTGATACTTGTGTTCTTTTTCACGATGGCCGCTCTGACAGGTGTGAGGTGATGTCTCGCTGATTCTGATCTTCTGATCTGCATTTCCCTCATGTAAGTGATGTTGAGCGACTTCCCGTGTCCCTGTTGGCCACCTGCATTTCCTCTTTTGGAAAAGTGTTCAGTTCTGCCCATATTTTAAGTGGATTGGTTGTTTATTTTTTAATTGAAGTACAGTTGATTTTTTTCAAAAAAAGATTGAGCAGTACTTCATGAAGAGCTGTTTTGCCGATGAGATCTTATCAGTTGTGTCTGGTTTCATTAACCCGTTTGTTGGCTTACAAATAGTATCTGGTCATTCATCTTCCTCCTCATCTCTCTGGGACCCGAAGTAGAGTTGTGGCCTCTCCGTTTTCAGGACTGAACCTACATAGGGGTTCAGAAGAGCTGTTCTCTGTGACGTGGGGGTCGTGCTCTCTGCTCTGTTCCTCCAAGCGTGGTCCTTGGAGCGCAGGCCAGGAGCGCTGGGAACTGGCTAGGAGCCGCTGACTCTGGCTCCCCGGCCACCAGGTCTGCCCTCTCCGCAGGGCCCGGGCGGCTGTGTGCCCAGTGGGGCTTGAGATGTTCCTGGGTGTTCTCCCTGCGCCGTCCTGTGGAAGTTACTGCAGGATTCACAGATCTGTGTGTGTAAACCAAGACTGCAAATTCAGCTCCAGGTGTCAGGAAGTTGACTTCTCTGCACAGCTGTACACCTGACCCATGATGTCCTTTTGTTTTAGAAAACCATCGCCCAGGTCCTGGTCCACCTGCACAGGAATGACTACGTGGCTGCAGAGCGGTGTGTCCGGGAGAGCTACAGGTCAGGGCCCCGCCGCTCACTGCTTAGACAGGTGGTCCTGGCCCTGAGACCATGAGTTCTAAATTTAAGAGCAATAGCCACCATTTCAGCTTTTACGGCAGGATCTTTATGAGTTGTATTTGGGCCTATGTTTTCCTCCTCGGGGCCTCCATGGAAGTGCATGACGCGGGTGATTCTGTGACATTTAGCTTTCCCAGTAAAAGAGAACAGGAGGGAAAAAAGGCCCCAGGTAGTTTGTTACAGGAAGACTCTGGTCGTCTTGGTTAAAATGAGCAGCCTCAGTCCGGACCCCGACCATGCTGTCAGCTGTCCCGTGCTGCCACCCCACCCCCCCGTGACGATTTGAAGGGTCTCTAGCTGCTGTGAGACTCGGCCAGGGCGGGGCGGCCAGGGTCAGGCATAGACGGCTGTGTGCTTGTCCGCAGCATCCCCGGCTTCAACGGGAGCGAGGACTGTGCTGCCCTGGAGCGGCTCCTGGAGGGTTATGACCAGCAGGACCAAGACCAGGTGTGCGAGGTCTGCAGCTCGCCCCTCTTCAAGTACATGGACAATGACGTAAGTGCCCCCGGGGAGGAGGCTGCCAGGGAGACGGTTCTCCCTGGATGGAAAGGTCCTTCCTCTGTTACTTCTGATGCTCCTCCTCACAGGGGAGCGCCCTGGGGGTCACGGGGGGTTGGCTATGGGTGTCCCCCGACGGCATTTCCTCCCCTCCCACACCTCTCTCCCCGGCTCATGGCCAGGATCACGTTGGGGTTCTTCTGTGTAGACAGTGGTGCAGGCTCACTCGGGGTGGAGAAGCAGGCCCTTCCTCCCAGGGCGCTCCTGCGACAGCCTGGGGCGCAGCCTAGACGTGTCTTGTGTATTGTCCTTGACAGTATGCGAAGCTGGGCCTGAGCCTGGTGGTCCCGGGCGGCGGCGTCAAGAAGAAGGCGGCTGCCTCCCCCCAGCCTGCGCCCACCGGCGTCCCCGCGGCCGAGGAAGAGGAGGACGAGTACGCAGGGGGGCTGTGCTAGGGGGCGCTCCGGCCCGGCCCCGCTGCTCAGACACGCGGCTGTGTCCCTGGGCCGCTCGCCGCGCCCCCTGCCTGTGAGCATGGTTCTTCTTTCCCTGACAAGAGCTCTTGCAAGACACCAGCAGGGCTTAATGGAAGACGCTCTGTCGCACTTTAATACCGTCAATTTTAAAATCGGGAAACCTAACTCTAGACACGTTTGTTCTATACAAAAGGGATGGTAGGCACAGTTACCTCGTCTCTGGGGCTCCAGTAATTGACTGTTAGGGAAGTTTCCTTGCATTGAATTTAATAACTGCTGCTAAACGTGAAGTTTACCAGTATTTAAGTTATTAAATCTTCCGAGGTGAGATGGGGGCAGGAATCTGTTCTGAGCCTTACAATGTTGTTTAGCCCAGTACCAGACGCATTTAAAGTCTCCTCTTGTGCATCTGACAGCTTAGAAAGTAAGACAGACGCTACCTTCTGTAAATGTCTTCAGTTCTCTGAAATACGGGTAGTTTTTCACCTGAAAGATGCACAGTGACTCCCTAAACCCACTAGGTTCTTGACTCAGTGAGAACCAGCCAGCACCTTCCTCATGCATTCAAACCGCGCAGCGCACGTGTCCCGCTGATGGGGTGTATGTGCTGGGTGACGCTGGCTAGTCTTTCATTTCCCAGGCATTCCTTTCTGCCCTGTGTGCTTAGACCGCTCTCCCAGGCTCCTGAACAGTGGCAGTGTGCCTCCTGCAGGCAGATGCCGCCCGAGCGGCTTTCTGCTACCTTGGTGAGCTGGTAGTCACTGGACTTCAGGTAGAGCATCACACGTGGTTTCAGCTACTCGGGGCCCCATGGGAGTCAGGTAACATCCTTGTGAGGCGGCTGGATAGTGGGGTGGAAAGCCATCGAAGGTCTGATCCAAACCCTGAGCAGCGTGCTGTCTCCAGTTCCCCAGAAGGTCTGCGGTTCCCCAGTAGGTCTACGGACAGCAGTGCCCTCATACGCTGGGGTAACCTGCATGGGTTCAGGGAAGCTGTATTTAGGCATTGGCGTTTAATGACACGTTCATATCTTGGCGATCTTGTCACTGCTCTGCCCTCCAGATCCAGCAGAAACTTCGGGAGTCTCTTTCTGATGTGCATTTGAGCTAATTAACAATCCATTTAAACAGATTTAGCAACACTTAGAAGACATTTTAGACCCTTTGTTTATAGACAATATCCATTACAGCCTTGATTCTTTTTTCTTACGTAGTAAACAAAAGTGAATGCGTGAGTTGGTTCCCCTGCAGGGGCGGCGCAACTGAGCTGTCTACACACAAGGCTTGGACAGAGCACTCTCCTGGCCCACAGCTCCTGTAGGGGTGGGACATGGGTACCCACCAACGCCAGGGCTGTTGTATAGTGGCCAGTAACGAGTGTTTGTTCCATAGCTGATGCGTTCCATTTCCACTCACGTCAGTCTATCCTGAGAGCGCAGCGCACGCACGTTCTCCAGAGCTCGCGTCGTCGCTTAGCACAGCGGACTCCTGCACGAATGTGCTCAGAAGCTAGTAGTCAGTGTTCTGTTGTAAGTGCAGTCAGTCTGCAAAATATATTTAATATATTGAATCTGTATATATGCAGAGTGTGGTAATCTGTGTATGGAAATCTGTGCTTTGCTCCTGTTTCCTTTTCAGCTCTTTGAGTAGACTCTTAAACGTGTTACAGAAGTTATTGCTTCTATAGGAAGATAATTATGCTTCTATAGGAAGATAATTATGAAAATAAAATCTGAAACTGCAAGTATGATTATTCTTTCATTGATTTGTCTTTGCTTATTTCCTTTTTTTCCAAAGACACAGCCCCAATTATTTACCTGATTCCAGCTAATTAGACAAGAAACAGTATTTGTTCTCTCAGGCCGTACGCTCTGCTCTCTGGGAGTCAGTCAGTACCTTTAGGAGTTGTATACCTTCGGGGGCTACTCTAAACCCTTGGAGCTTTCTGAGGTGCCAATCGTCCAGTTCCTGTAATACTGTGTTCTCTGGCCCTGCTGAGGCAAGAATCTTCAGTACACCTTCCACAAGAGTAGTTCTTTCATTAAGTGAGGTAAAAATACATAGTGTTTTGTGTTTATGCATAGTTAGCACCCTAATTACCAGTGGACTTAATCATTTACGGGTGCATGCCATGTGTTAACTCGCAAGTTTTAGGTTGTGTGTTCAGTTACGTTTTATTGATGGCCTTTCTTAGGACTCGAGCCCAGGAGGTGGCCCCTGAGCTCTGCAGGACGGCTCCGGAGAGGGAGAGGAGGAGACAGGATATATAGGAGTTTTTGCCATGAAGACCAGGCAGTGGGAACCTCAAACGATTCCTGTTACTTCAGGGAAGCCGGGTAACTCAAGCTAAGGAATTGAGTGCTTTTCTGTGGGAGGATGCAAGAGTCTGGGCTTACTGAAATCACTCCTTTGATCCCTACCTGGCTGTCGGGGGCCGGTGTCCTGGGCTTCCTGTCCTGAGTCCCCTCGGGTGGCAGCAGAGGCCGGGCTGCCTGCCTGTCTCCATCCCGAGTTCCCTCCTGTTCGCTGTGGGGGCAGCTGCAGTGGCCGGTGTCCGCAGCGTCCTCTTACTGACAGGGCCGGTGGTGACTTTCATTCGTGGCCCTCCTCCTCGGTCCCATGCTTCATGTCCAGTTTCTGTCTCCAGTGCTAGCAGGCGTGTTCCTGTGACAGGCGAAGAGGATGCTGTTGACATGCAACTCAGGGTGCTCATTTTTGGATCAGGCCCTGTCGATAATCTAAACTTCTCTAGGTTGCCTGCCTCATTAGTCTTTCATGATCCAGGAAGCGTTATGCTACATAGTCACAAATGTGATCTGTTTCCTCGAGATGTTTACCCAGCGCGTGGGCACCCAGGCCTCCAACCAAACTGATGGTTCATGTAAGAAACAAGCATCTTACAAAACAGGATGTCATATAGGAAGTTAATGACGTCACAGTGCAGCAGAGACAGAGCATGAACAAGGTGGGACACAGGACCAGTTAAAGCAGTGATTAGTGTAAGTGGTGGTGATCTGGTTGCAGGGAGCCGGCTGGGGAAGCCCGATTCTGGAGGGATGGGCAGAGAGAAGATAAAGTATACCTTTGTAAACAAAGATGAAACATTTTATCAGCTTGTAGGACATAGCATAAAAAGTTTTCTCTGGAAAACAAAGATTAAAAGCCAGTATATTTCCCAAAAGGGCAGAAAGTTATAAATCATTTATCAGTTCATTCAGTCCCATGTAACTAATTCCTCTGATCTGGATAAAGTCGTCAGGTTATCCATTAGTTCTGTAAGTTTCCTAATTCAGTGGTACGATCTAAAGGTTATCAGAGACTTAAACTTGTCAAAAAGTCCTTTTCATGAATCTTCCTTGATGTTCTTTTTATAAAAACAGTAAAAAAACAATGGTTTTCTATAAGTGAAAGATTTAAAAAGGCATGGGTAAAGATTTGATTACGATGCAGCTGACAAGCAACTTGGCTATTCCTGTGACAGGCAACATTTTAACATAACAGCTTTATCAAGACATACCAGATTTTAGAAATATCTATATTAATGACATTTATCTGTACAGGGTAACCTAAAGTTCATCTGCAATCATTTGAGTCATTTGACAGTATTTCTCAGAAAATTAAGGTAGTAAGTGAACCTTACGTTTCCCGTGTCTGAGATGTTTCAGCGTTCTTTTGAAGCAAGTATCCCAGAGTTAGCTTGAGGTTAACCAGAACTGTAGTTAGAATTTGGTATTTGGGAAGTGTTAAAAATATCAGAAAGGTTTTAGGACATACGAGGTCACTGTGAAATAATACTTATTCATTCAGTTAAAGTGACAGATTAAAAATATAGGTTAAAGGTACAGAATCTCAAACAATCTGTTACCAAAAGCGGCACTCCGAGAAAACAGTCCCGGAGAGAGGACGTCATGCCCCTGCCTTGTAGCAGCCCGCGGTTACCAGCAGAGTCCACCGCCAAAGAGTCTGTCCGGGCTTCGCTAGTGCTGCCCGCGTGCAGGCTCTTCTCGGGGCGCCTTTCCATGAGCAAACAGTCCCAAGTACCGACATGCAGTTCTACCCCTTGTACTTGCTTCTGCTGAAAACGTCCACCCTGGCTTCCTACTGAATTCTGAAATGTTCCTTTATTATTTCTAGTAGCTTTAAAGAGAATTCTTAGCTCTTAAAGCAGTGACTTCACTAAGCAGCAGGTAATTATGAACCGTCTTCCACATGAGCATTCTGTAAGTTGGCAACCACCAGCACTGACTTCTTAAATTACCATCGCGGTGTGGCACCAGAGGTGTTAACAGTAGCCCTGAGTGCTGTTAGTCCCCCTGTGACGGGGAGCCAGGGCTCAGTAACGGCTGTTGCAGTGTCTCTCTCTCTGGAAACAACCTGGCTCTTCAGAGCTGCTGTCGTTTTACTTAGTTCAGCACAGCTCTGAAATTTTAAGTTACCAAGTATCTGAAGAGGTTACGTTCAATAATTATTTCTGAAGAGTTCACCCAGAAGTTCTTCTCATTTGCTTTTAATTTACTTAAAAGAATTTGCTCGTACCAAATTACTTTTCTTGCTGATGAATTTACAGCAGATAGAACAAGGTCCTACCTGACTTCTGTTAAACCTAGGTACAGCTGCACTGAATGTTGACTACAGAGAATTAGATTAGCAAACCAACCAACCTTACTGCCAGGCATCAAGTTAGTGGTCACCAAGACTGTCAACTGAAAAAAATGCACAACCTCAAAGCTGAGAGTTCTGCTTTATTCTGCAAACTTTCTGAAGACTCGAGCCCGGGAGGTGGCCTCAGATGGCTCTGTGACTGCTCCTAGGAGGCAGGGGAGGAGCCAGGAGAGAGGAGTTTCTGTAACAAAGACCAGGTAGTGGGAACGTTGAAAGGTTCCTCTTAAAGAAAACCAGACAACTCAAATTAAGAAATTCAGCACTTCTCTACTATGTATGAGGACACGCAAGTCTGGGCTCGTGGAAGTCGCCCCTTTGCCGTGCACCGTAGCTCTTGAGGGCCTGGGTCCTGGGCTTCCCCTCCCGAGTCCCCTGAGGGTGCACTGTCAGGGCGGGAGTTGCTGCAGAGGACGGGCTGCCTGCTCGTCTGCATCCCGAGCCCCCCACTCCCCGTCGGGGCAGCAGTGGCTGGTGACCTGCTGGGCACCGCGCCCTTTGTCTCCTGATGTTCACATACATAATGCTGCCGTGTCCTTCCCAGAATGGGAGTCTGATGGGATTGGGCACCAGGACTGGGTGGGGGTGGGAGTTGGAGTAAGACAGAGAAGGCATGCAGGGGACACAGGGCTTGGACGTTGTGGGATTCTGTCCCCCTCAGGACACCTTGGAGTGTTCCGAGTGCACCTCGTGGTCACACTGCTAAGACGGGACAGCTGGGAAGGAGAGCGGGACCCATCTCCCTCTGCCCCCGCCCCGAGTTTTCATTAGATGGTCCCAGTACAGGGCTCCATATCAACTTCAAGTTGATGCTGGGTTTAAGGACATTAAAGGTGGAGGGACAGGACTGAGGCAGCATCTGTTTTGAGAAAGGAGAGCAGACTTTTAACACTGGGCGTTTCTGTCAAATGGCCAAGGGACCAGGTGCACAGGAACAACTTGCATGGCTTCTAATTAACACGCGAGGATCCTGAAATAAAATGTCCCTAAATGGTGAGTCATGCTTACAAACTAGGTTAATTAAATCCTCTTAGAATTTAAGGGTTTAACATTGTCAGTTACATCTATAATTGTAAAAAAAAAAATCAAATTATGAAACTGCATGTGAACTGTCTGGTAACCCGCTCAAGAGGTGGGCCTCCCAGGCAGATGACAGGGGCAGACTGGGGACTTGAGGTGGTAGGAGGCAGTGGCCGCAGGGCCAGACCAAGGGAGCCCCCAGCCCCCTGGGAGGCCCAAGGCCGTGGGGCCAAGTTAGACTGCCCGGCCCTGCTGGGGCCCCCAGGGGAGCTGGGCCAGAGCTACCTGCGGACCAGAGTTCCAAAGACCTACCTCACATGGTTTCCCACCAGAAACCATTTTGGGGGCAGAATCACCTTTACCTGTGGGTTAGCCCCCTCCTCCTGTTTTGGCTGGCTTAATAATGTAGGTTTGTTAAGGGGTCTCAGCCACCAGGTGGCACCGTAGAGCTCGGGGGGGATGGTCGGTGGGTGTGTCTGCTCGCCTGGTCCAGCTGCAGTTACTGCGGACAGACGGACGGACAGACAGACTGCAGGCTGGGGGCCCAGGGTCTCAACTTGCCAGTCAGATGGACACACTTTGTCAACTGCTGGGCTGTATGTGCCCGCTGGTGCTCTCCCAGCCCCAAACCACAACCCAAGATTGTGCGGTGATGAAAACGCCCCGGGCCTTCACTAAGGCTGTCTTGGGCCACTTGTCGCGTTTTGGGGGGAGGGAGGCGTGCATTAGTCAAGGAGTTCGTTGTAGGAGCCTCTGCCGCCTGCAGTCAGTCAGCTGCCTGCTCTCACCCAGCAAAGGCGGACAAGCCACTCGCTGTCTTCACATGCACAGGGTGCAGTGTTGCCCCTTGTTGGGAACCAAGACTGTGTCCTCGCCCCACCCCTGAACACTGCGTAACGTTAGGACAGCAGCAACCTGGCTCCAGGCTGTGCTGGCCCGAGGCAGCCGCGGACCCCTGTGAAAATGTAAATAAAATGAACTAAAAGGAAATTCAGTTCTTTGGTCACAGCCAAATTTCTCT